TAAATTTCAATAGACTCAGTTCGTACTTTTGTTCCTACTTTGGTATGCTTCTCAGGCCTGTACCATCATTAGAATGGAGAGCTGCAGCCCAGCTCTCCCTAACTTAGTTTTCTGTCAACAGTGGACAAGGATGTAGTTAGGCTAATCTAAGCATTAGGAGGTGATGGTTTTGAATAGTTCCAGGAGGAGAAAGGCCATAGAAATGTTTACAGTTTTCTGCTGCTCTTAGCTCATGCATACATGTATATATGTCACAAATAGAATGGATTCACACATCAATGAGGTCTCTGCGTAGAAAGGGCATAGGTACCTCTTGTTGTTACATGGTGACCATAGCAAGGGAAAATGAAATTGGGTCTCAAGATGAGAAATAATGGAGGGCTTGTGCAAAGACTTTGGGGAAATTGGAATGTGTTATCTCTGCCTCCCTCCTCAATTCAGATCCATAGTAATACAATTCTGGAATTATTGAAGTGCTTTGAGCACCTATGGTGTTATTTGGAAGGTGTGAAGAGTAGGGTTCCCTTTGGTTAGGGATCTGCTCTCCTTCGAATCCCTCATATCTCTGGCTCCGTGTATAAAAACACTTACAGACTTCCCGCCCTATAGTTGACAGGCTCAAAGTGGAAATATTAGTGAGAGCTCAGTGTGATGGCCTAAGTCAACAGTCAAGAGATGTGGTCACCACAGACATAAACCCACGGGTTTTATGCTTACCAGAATGTCTGGCAAGACAGAAACATAAGATGCTTCCTATACTGTGAGTGTGAGCATAACATTCTGCAGAGATGTGGTTAGGTCATTTTTAACATAGACAGGAAATTTGCCTGGTAGTGATCAAGACCTTGCCTTCAGCAAGGCAGGTTTGTGCTAGCTGCCTTCATTCTGGCCAAAAAAAAAAAAACAAAAAACAAAACACGTAGAGAAGACTTTTCTCTTTTTCTGTACTGAATAGTTTTAGAGTTTCATAGTTTGCTAGGCCCTAATGCCTTGTTTTATAAAATCAAGGAAAGATTATTCTAATTGTTGGGAAACAACTTGGAAATAAAAGAGACAGCACTATCTTCCTCAGAGTAAACAAGTTTTTCTGGATTGGACTTCTAATACAAATAAGCTGACTTTCTTGGTCTTTCTTGTCATGCTAATCTTAAAATGTAAACCCTGGGAATCCTCTTAAACTTTTTTGGATATTGTTACTCTGCCCCAGGGTCACTCTACAGAATGCTGCTGTGAGTTTTGTTGATGTAGCTGTCTTTTCATCATGAGAACGATGAGTGACAGTTCTGACTTTACTCAGGGACTTCATGCTGTAGCTTAATAGGATATGGGTATGGCAAATGGGTATCCTAATGGGTTTCTTCAGCACAGTGAGCCCGAAGGATTTGCTTTCTGCTCTCTGTTTTCCGCTTCCCCCAAGACTTTTAGGTTGACGTGAATTTGTCCCTTGGGCCCAGTTGTATCACAGGAGGCCACTGCTAACCAGCTATGCTCTGTGGCCAGTGAAGGCTGCCTGCACCTTCTCAGCAGCTACTCTCTGAGCTGTGTTTGAGCTCAGCGCTGCTCCTTTTTTTTAATCTGTGTGCATTTATCTTTGCATGTGATGCCTGCTACCACCCTTTCTGTCCTTATTTCATTTAAAAAATTTTCTTTGCTGTCATTCTGGCCTTTTGGGACCTTGCTCCCAGCAGCTCTGGATCTTTCTGGTACACTTGGTGTAGCTGGAAAAAAATGATGCAGTCAAATGCCAGATGAAAAGCAGATGGAATTGCATGCATGTTTGGGTAACTCCTAGTCTGGTTACTTTTAACATTGTTAATAAAATTAAAGCAATTGTGGAAATGTTTAATGTTTATCTTTTGGTCACTGAAAGGTGCACAATATTGACTTGCTGGTCGCACCCCTCGTAAACTTTGTTCTCCTGAAGTGGCAGAAGCCTGATGGAAAAATTCAGGAATCTCAAGATCTTGTAGGGAAATGATTTTCATTAATGCTTCTGAAAAAGGAAAGGGCATGGAATTTTCTTCATTCCTGCTCTAATATACATTGTCAGTAGTAGTAAAAGAAAGCATCATTGGCTTGATTAGCATTTACTTTAGATGGTTGATAAAGCACAAACTTCTCCTGTTTTATGCAGGTCCTACCTTTCCTTTGAAACAAAATTAACATTTGGAAGACCATGGGGTTGTGAATTTGAATAGCAGTGATGGCATTGTTACAATAATTTTGAATATTTTGCACCTCTCACAAAATACATTCATTGCACTGTTGGTTGTGTCCATCTTACATGAGAACACGTCCCTGTGCTGTAGATTCTGCATGTGTTGATTGGCGCAAGCTCCTGGAGTAGCATAAGGCAGCCTTAGAGGCCCACGATCCTCCGTGACCATGACTGAACTCAGGCGCCTCCCTCCCCTGGAAATGGCTGTTGGCTAATAATCTTGAGAGTGATTTTTGGTTCTCTGCTCTGTTGCTTTCATTGGTGGCTGATTGATTTGCATGCAAGGTGGCTGATTGAAATGCAGATGACAAATTTTCTCTAAAAAGCTTGTGTGGAAGGCAACTGATGGTCGAGATCCAGAATCAGAACCGCAGGGTGGACTATAAATTGTAAAAACCAGTTGAAATTTAAAGAGAATCAATGGCAGTGATGTTATTGGCATGCATCCAGGCCAGGGCTTCTCCCCAAGGCCTGCTACATTACCTAGTTCACTCCCCCGCCCCCAAATCTGGAGACACTTCCTTTTCAGCACACAAGAGACTGCACCTGCAGTGTTGAAGAGATGACTTCGTCCCTCTTGTAGTAACTGGGGAAGATGTGGCTGATTAGAGCAGCCAGACTAGTTTGCGGGGGAGTGCTGTGTCTGGAGTCTGTCTTCTGTTAGTTCCCAAGCATTGCTGCTATTTTTCTCATTTAAATTTCAACGGTTTTCGATGTGATTGTCCTAGTGATGTGCCAGCCTGCCAGTCATCTTTCTGATGTGATCTGCTTGTTAACTCTTTAGAACAATGACAACGAGACGGCCCTGCATTGCGCAGCGCAGTATGGCCACACGGAGGTGGTGAAGGTTCTCTTAGAGGAGCTAACAGACCCCACCATGCGCAACAACAAATTTGAGACGCCTCTGGACCTGGCTGCACTGTATGGGAGACTGGAGGTGGTGAAGATGCTTCTCAACGCACACCCCAACCTCTTGAGCTGCAACACTAAGAAGCATACCCCCCTGCACTTGGCAGCGAGGAACGGCCACAAAGCTGTGGTCCAGGTCCTCCTGGATGCTGGCATGGATAGCAACTACCAGGTAGTGGGGCGGATGTACCTCCCAGATTCAAGGGACCTAGTCATTTTGGAAAAGGCACAAGTACCCTGCTGCTAGGCTGTGTTCTTATTTAGCACGTTTCACATCACATGCCAGATGCTTCCATTTTAATGTGAAACTTTAGAGACAAACCCCTCCAGTGAGTCTGTTCTGTTTTCTTTCTTTTCAGGGCTTATATACTGTCATTACACCCTGAAAAGATGTGCTAATGGACTAGCTCTCGAAAGTAGAAAAATTGCATTATCTTCCTATTTTCCTCGCTCTACTTGTGCTCCCGCTGCCACCATCTCCTGTCTCTGAAGCCCCATCAACTTGATGTTGCCTGTAGAAGGCTTAGCATTTCCCTACATTGTTAGCTTTCTCCATCCAGATGAATGGCCATTCTATTGACAAACCATATATGAAGTTTTTCCCCTGTATTTTTCCCCTCATTATTCCTTACACCCAGGATGGTGGACTTTTGAGGATTTTCACCAATCGGTGGCTCTGAGGGTAGCGGTGCAGTTACTCACATGTGGCCTATTGGTGGCACATCTGATACTGATGATGTGTGGCCACGGTTGTGATTTTGGAATCCAGACAAGAAAAGCAGGAAAGATAATGACAGAGGATGTTGTATGGTTCATTTTATTTTCCTGTCCCTTTTCACCTGTCGCCTATGTCCCGTTTGTTGTGTGAAAGCACACCAAACCTGGGTCACTGTTCTGACGACATCCTGCTCTGCGCTCTCGTTTGCTTTCCAGACGGAGAAGGGCAGTGCTTTGCATGAGGCTGCTTTGTTTGGCAAGACCGATGTGGTGCAAATCCTGCTGGCTGCAGGTGAGAGGTCGGCAGTGCTCTTGTCTACACAGCATGCCAGGGTGGGGATTGTCTCCCCATCCTCCCTGGAGGGGGTTTTTGCTGGCTGCATTTGAACCCAGTGTATGTGTGTCTCCACTGGTTGATTGCAAGTGTATGAATTGTCCTTGAATTGCTGGATTAAATGGCTTTGGATGAAAAATGTGGTTATACTGCTTGGGACTGGTAGGCGCCCTGGAGGCTGGCTTGACAATGCTCATTCCCCTGCTCCATCCGGTGCACCTTCCTCTAGGAATTGATGTCAACATTAAAGATAACCGTGGACTGACTGCTCTAGACACTGTCCGAGAGCTGCCTTCTCAGAAGAGCCAACAGATAGCAGCACTTATTGAAGGTACTGGTCCATCTCCCTGTCAGGGCAAGCAGGGGATGCACTCCCTCAACAAGGCACTTGTATTTGGTGCAGCTTATTTTGTCTTTCCACATAGATCACACGCATGGAAAAAGAAGTGCAAAAGAGGTAGATAAAACTCCTACACCGCAGCCACCTCTCATCTCCAACTTGGACTCCATATCACAGAAGTCTCAGGGTAAGGCAGCTCTTCTCTGTCAGCAAAGGGGCTCTCAGCTTGAAAAGAATTGAAAATTCTTCCATAGAATGAAAAATAGCTTAAATAGTTTCAGGGAGGGTAGACGTATTTAATAAGTTCATATTCAAACTCATTTTTTCAGCTCTTCTGTGAAATTTATTGGACATAGCTGAGCCCTGGGACTGTGACTCACCTTTCCTTCTTTATTTTGTTCTCTACTTTTATACTTGCCAGGAAATCTGTTCTAGGGTGTATAATAGGCAAGATGATCTCTCGATTTCAAGTCATCTTGACATATACTTTAGTGCCTCAAGCATGTTGGCCCATAGTCAATATTGTGTGATCTTGGTAAAGTGTCACTTGACCAACAAATATTGGGTGTTGACCTACAAATGGGTGAGCTTGGGCAGTCCAGCCTCTCCCTCATTTGCCAGGATCCACCTTTACAGATGTATTTATTTATTTAAATGTTTATACATATGTGTGTTTTATATATCACTGTTCATTTTTGTACTTCTCTCAGGCGTAGTCCCCATAAAATTCCTACCACCTACTCGCCCGTGAACCATTGCCATAGTCCCCCCAACCCCGTTTTGATCCCTCTTCCTGCCCTTCCCTGCAGAATGTTTCTGATTTATAGTTGCCTGCTAATTTTTTTTAAATTATATATATATATATATTTTTTTTTTTTTTCCTGGTCCCTTATTTGGTTCTCCTATATTCCTCCTATAAGTGAAACCAGCCAATGTTTTTCTTTTTCCTTCTGGCTTATTTCACTGAGCATAATCCCTTCCAGCTCCATCCATGTTGCCACGAATGGCATGAGTTTGTCTTTTCTGATTGCTGAGTAGTATTCCATTGTGTATCTATACCACATTTTTTGGGCATTTGGATTGTTTCCATATCTGACCTATTATAAATAGTGCTGCAGTGAACATAGGGGTGCAGGTATCCTTTTGAATTAATGTTTTTGTGCCTTTGGGTAGATTCCTAATAGTAGTTTGAGGAACCTTCACACAGCTTTCCATAGTGGTTGGACCAGTTTGCACTCCCACCAGCAGTGCAGGAGAGTTCCTGTTTCTCCACATCCTCGCCAACATTTGTTATTGCCAGTTTTTTATTTTTATTTTTATTTTTTTTAATAGAGGCATGTTTTATTTATTTATTTGTTTATTTGTTTGTTTGTTTATACATGCACTGGGTACAGTCAGAAGTGCAGGAGGGTGAGAGAATTCACCAGAGCCAGAGCGGGGAGCAGAGCAGGCAGAAGGACCGAAGTACACTGCTGAGGGGAGCAGCGGGCGGCAGGAGAGGTCTGCGCGCCATGTGGGACCCTCCTCCGGTGGCCGGGGAGCAGCCAGGGATCGAACCGGCGCCGCAGAGGCCGCGGGCAGCTTTGCAACCCAGCGCTCAACCGCTGCGCCACCGGGGAGGCCCTATTGCCAGTTTTTTAAATACGTGCCGTTCTTTTCAGATTTATTGAGCAGCCGTTTGGTCCTAGGTAGGAAGAGTGAGAAAGACAAGATATTGACTGACACCTTCCCCCTGACACAAATCACAATAAAGAATACTAGAGAAACTGAATAAAACCAGGCACTAAAAAGGGAAGGGAATTCTTAAAAGGAGCACAGAGGTATAAGGGTGAAAGGGTGCTCAGCCTGTCTTTCCTGCAGAGTTCTTTTCCTCCCCAGTCCCTACTTTTTTTCTTGACCCCATAATCTACTAGTAATAGGATTAGTAATTCACTCAGCTCTCAGTTTTCAAGGATTTTACAGTCACAGCTTTGATAACTTGCAAGTGACCCAGAGGCCTGGAGCAGTTGCTAATTTTGCAGTGTCCTTAATCTGGATCTCAGGTGCTCTGGGGTGGTACTTAGCTAGTGAGTGAGCCCCATAGACATAAGGTGCCTTGGTGGCGGAAAGTGCCTGTGGCAGTCCTCTATTTTTGCTTGAGGCCAGGCAAGTTCTTGCTAAGAATTTAAAGGATTATGTTTTTCAGTTACGCTTTGCTACATTTTATGGTTTTAAGTTTATGCTATAATGGCATTGAAGTATTTTGAAATTTATAAAGGTCTTGACAGGTATCCCTCATAGATGTCAAGTGTTTCACAAATACTGAATTTGAGAAAAATCTGTTTAACTGTCTAAAGTTAGAAACAGCAACTGAAACATCTGTTCCTGTCTGAGGAGCAGACCAGGCATTTATTTTCCTGCTCGGGGTTAGTGTTTGTCAAGTTCTGATTGCAGAAGGGTCTTTGGGTTATTGTGGTGGTTGGAAATCCATTCTGTCCTCTCCCTCCATTGATTCTCTTGCCCTCTGACCTCTACTTCAGGTGATGTGGAGAAAGCAGTGACTGAACTGATCATTGATTTTGACACAAATATTGAAGATGAGTGTTCCTACGAGTCTCTGTACAATGCCATCTCCTGCCATTCGTTGGACAGCATGGCCAGCGGGCGATCGTCTGACCGTGACTCGGTGAACAAGGAGTCAGAGGCAGCAGGAGTGAAAGCAGCAGGAGTGCGGCCTGTATGTGGTTGGGCCTTAGCAACTTGGATTTGGCCAGGGGCAGGGTTTGGGGAGTAGGGGGAACGGGGAGGGGGGCACTGGAGAGAGGAAGTGTCAGTAGTAATAACCCCCAAGGAAATGCTAGTGTCAACTTGCATTTCCCAGACCTGCACTCAACTCCCCTGTTCTGCTGGGGCTCTGACGCATTTCCCTCTTCCTCAATGTGGTAAAACTATGCAGATGGCATTGAAGTAGAATTCCAGTTTTTCCAATTTCAGTGTAATCTGTTTGCATCTTTCTATTACTCTCTGACCTTAGCGCCAATGAAAGTATTCTATTGAGCCTCAGTGCTGCATCTCTCTTTGGTTATACATTGTTCATTTTCTCTCTGGAGAGCAGTTCCTGCAGTTATGGAGCTCAGTAAAATAAGTTCTGTGTGCCTGAGTACACGCATGCCTTCTCTTTGCCCTCAAAGAATCACACCTTTGGATGCGGGCAGACTCTGTGTTCAGCAGGGTTGTGTGTATTGTATATGTGTGTATTAGTATATGTCATTTCTATTCTGCCAGTTATGACCCCTCTAGCCGTTGAAATAATAAAGTGAGAACACCCTGAATTTTCCCTTCTCACCTTCCCACCTAGTGCTTGCTCCTCCTTCCAGTCTTGTACATTGTTTCCAAAACTCCTCACCCCCTTTTTCTTTCTTTGCATTTTACCGTGAACCTATGTCTGAACCACTGGTCCCCTGACCCACCACTTTGTATTGCCAGGGACGATAATTTGAGATTTTGAGCACTGTGCTTTTACTAAACTGGCCACTGTTCTAAAGGACCCCCAGTGATACTCCAAACTGGAGGTATATTTTCAGGTATATATTATGTCTCACTCTTGAGAGAGGCTGGCCTTTCCCTTTCCGTCTGAAGCTGCTGGCTTACGACCATTTTGGTGATCTTTTGACTGCTAGATCACCCTTGCACTTTTCATTTGTGCCCTAAGAGTGGCCTGATGCTTCTCGGTGTTTTTTTTTTTTTTTTTTTTTTTTTTAAACTCCTTGCCTTATCCTGGAATAGCTCCATCATTTCAGTATGGATTCTGGAAAGGCCCACCCGCCCACCAAGTGCATACACCAAGCTGCACTCGCGTGCACTTCCGTAGATACAGCTGTCTTTTCCCACTTCTTTCACTGTTTGGCACAAGTGAAATTAAGTGAATCCAGCTGTGGGGAAAGGCTTTGCTTTAAGTGGTACTTACAGGTGATGCCCATCAGAGGGAGCTGGAGGCTTTGCAAGAGGAACACAGGGTTACTCAAGTAAGCTTGAATAACCAAGTTTCTGTGGGGCTGAGCCATGGATTTGCATTAGTCTCTTTGTTCCATTCCACTTTAGGAATCTAACCTCTTATGGTCCTGCTAAGTAGAAACTTAGATCTTGCGGTACATGCTTTGTCGTTTTTACTTGTGTATGTGTGGCCATGTAACCTTCCTGGCCCTTGGTAATTAACATCTTGATAAACACAAAAATGATATGTATAAACCAGTTCTGTGCTTCCAGGCTCCTGGGTGAACGTTTTCACATTAGAAAAAAAAGGAGCTTGTGGGTGCTTCTGTTTCCGTCAGTGTTTCTGGTGATGACTTATTCCTCAAAAGTCTTTCATAGTGTTCTTTCTAGGCTTTTTGCTTTGGGAAGATTTCTAGGATGGGTCCTTTTTGCCCTTTTTGTGTTTCATTTTGTTTGTCTCGCCTATTAGTGTCGCAGGGCCAGATAGCTGGTGGGTGTGCGCCTCCTCCCTTCACTGTTCCCTTCCTCACAAGGTGTCACTGAGACCAGGCTTATTTCTATGCTTCTGGAGCAAAGAAGAGTAGGGAGATGGGACTCAGTGAGAAATCAGATCTAAATAGCTTTGGCTTGAACCTCCAGGCGGTCTTGGAATTGATGCTGTTGGACATCCATCTGGTTCTAGCAACTCTGGGAATGGCACATATCAAGATACAACACTGCACAGTGAAGCATGCTTAGCAGAGAGATCCTGGATGCCAAATGCTAACCTTTGGAGCTCCTAAAATACAAGAAACATCTTTCCTTGCAGATTTCCCTGGGGCTGGCACATAATTTTTGTCTTTACTGTTCTAGCAACACAGCAAACCCAAAATCTTGAGCTAACCTGCAAGCCAGGGAATGAGCCTACAAGCCAACTCCTGTGTCAGGATCCCACTCCCTTCCCTACAGGAACTTTGATTATGAAGCATGAATAGTCTGTATATTCTTGAAACTCCCTACCCATGATCTGAATAATCGAGTGTTCCCCCTCTTCAGCTCTGAGGCAGGATCTAGCAAACTGTGGCCCCCCCAGCAGGTGCCTGTTTTGTAAATAAAGTTTGGGTGGAATATAGCTACACTCATTCATGTCCATATTTTCTGTGGCTACTTTTGTTTTCCAGTGGCATAATGACCTTAAATGGACTCTGTTGCCCTTTAAGAAAAAGCTTGCTAATTCCTGCTCTAAGGCAAATAACTAACAAATATTCCTTTTTAATAGGTTTAGATTAAAAAAAAGGGTTTTCATATGCTAATGATATTGATACATAATGGTAATCATTGAAGGAAGTAACCAAGGGTAAAAGACTGGTTTTGAACTTTTGCCAATAAAAGGGCATAGACCGTATCAGAGCATTAAAGTCTGAGCAAGAATTGATATTTTTGTCCTTGATTACTTTCCTCATTACTTCCTTAATAGCCAGTTTATTAGAACTCTTTGGCAAGTTGATTCTTTTGATTTAGTGTTTCCTTTCTTTAGAATAGACCAAAAGTTGAGCCACTGGTTTTCTTATACTAGAGTTTTAGGTGCTAATATTATAAGGGCAATTTGAAAGAGGTGTTTATAATCTTTGCTACAAATACTAAAAACCAGACAGCATGTTACCTGCTGTGTGCGTGCACATGTACTTGTGCTTGTGTGCGTGTGTGCATACAGGCATCTACAAGATTTTCTATCCATTCAGAGACTGTAAGTCTTGAATTTAGTTCTTTACATTAACATTTTCCATTTCTAAGGGCCATGATAAGAGTAAACAAAAAGTTAGATACTTGAAGAGATAGTCAAATTCTTATTTTTCCTTCTACAGAGGGAACGTCCACCACCTCCTGCAAAGCCACCACCAGATGAAGAAGAGGAGGAATGCATAGATAAGAAATATCTTCCCTTGACAGCTTCTGAGGTAAAGGGTTTATTCCCATCACTGAAATATGATTTTTTAAAAGATATTATTTATTTTTGCATAGAAGAACTGGGGTTTGGGACAGAGGTGCAGGGGGTGAGAGGATTCACCAGAGACAGAGTGGGGAGCAGAACAGGTAGATCTACTGAAATATACTCCTGAGGGGAGCAGCAGGCTGAACAGGGTTAGCTCCCTGGACAAGGATTGAACTCAGGCTGTGGTGGTGATAGTGCTGAGACTTAACCCCTAGGCCGCCAGGGAGGCCCCCTAAAATATGATTTTTTGCATTGTGTATCAATATGTGCTCAGAGAAGACCTTGCTTTCTTGTTTTTTTATTACCTCTTTGGATTAGTAAATTTGTATTGTGTGGATCAGTGATCCAGAACAAGGCTTTTAAACTTGCTTAAAATTACTAAGCAAAGAATGTTAATAGAACTGCCTACCAGACAGATCAGATACTGATTGACCACATGCTACATGGAAAGTAAAACATCTCATTTTCCAAACTCCAATAGGCTAAACAATGTCACTTTTTGATTTTCTACCTGTGTTTTTTTTTCTAATAGAAAATGTAAAGCATCTCCTAATTACCAAGCAAGCTTTGGTGGCTTTGCCCCAAGCATATCATTTCTGACTTTGCTTTTTCTCCATTTCACATGAAAAATCTATACTCAATTAGAAGAGAGATAGGAGTCATGGGCTGGGGAGGAATCAAAGAAGCTTATTTGAAAAATAATAGTGTACCTATTAAAAAAAATGAATGCTGGGCCTCCATGGTGGCATAAAGGGTTAAGACAAAGCACTATGAAACTATCCCCAGCCACTGCAGCACAAATTCGATCGCTGGCCGGGGAAGAGACCCACATGGCATAGCGCACCTCTCCTGTCTTGCCCACTGCTTCCCTCAGCAGTGTAGTTCAGTCAATCTGTCTGTTCTGCTCCCCACTCTGTCTCTGGTGAATCCTCTCACTCCCCACATCTCTGGCCCATACTCCAGCTCTTGTATGCATAAATAAATATTTTCAAAAAAAATAAAAAATGAATGCTGTTGTAGTTCAGTAGCTCAATTTTCTCACTTTAGTACATGAAGCAAATCATATTTTCCTTACCTTTCATCTTCAAAATGCATCTTTAACATGTTTATTGAGTATTCAAAATATTGCTTAATTTCAGTAGTTATTTTGTGGCTCATTCACTGTCCTATTGTTCTTTAATTTATCAATCAGCTTTTATAACCTAATCAATTAAGTCTCATTACTTTATCCCTAGAAGCCTAAGTTAATTTTTATACAGTATTGCCAGGGAGTATCCAGTGAGATAGGTTCTTTTATTTATCATAAACACATTGAACCAGAAAGATGGTTTTTGCTTACTAAAATGTATAAGAAAGCCCTTTTAAAAATGTGAAAGTGGATGTTGGAGATAGGGAAACATTTCTGTGCTGGGTACAAATTCTTTCCTTATTTCATTCTATCCCTTAATTACAAGATGCTTATCATGTCTCAACTAAGGAATCTGTAGAATTACAGCCTCTAGAGTAATAACACATTGCTAGTACATGTAAATGTATGGAGTAAATCCTCACATGTTTTTATACAGAGGTTTGCTTCCTTATTCCCTTTTTATAAGGAGAAACCTGGTAATAGGGAGCATACTCCCTATTAGTCCTTTAACAAGGACTTGGATTAAAACTCCCAGTGCCTAAGAATAAGGGCATGGCTCTTAGAGAAATAATGGATAACCAGGACTTCTTTTCTCCCAAGGCTTTTTAGATCATGCATTTTGGCAATAAGCCCGCATCAGGAGGTAGGGGGAGAAATTTATATGATTCTCCTGGGTGCCAGTCTCTGAACAGCCTGGAATTCTGGGTCAGTTTGACCACCATAGTCAGTATTTGAAAGACAGAACCCTGGCTTACATGGTGATGATTTTACATATATAGATATAAATAGATATAGAAAGAGAGAAAGAGGAGAGCAGTGATATGATCTGGGTCATTATCATTTTAATGATTAAGGCAGATTCTGTTTGTGTGCTGTAGTCGGAATAGGTCTTCTCCAAAAGTAGATTTTCTTCTTTTTTTTTTTTTTGGACTCTGTAGTCTTCACCATCTTTACTTCTTATACAAAAGTTTTTTTTTTTTTTTTAAGAGAAATAATCTTATATCTCTCTTTTTTTTTTTAAAGATTTATTTATTTTTTTATTTATACAAGCACTGGGTACAGTCAGAGGCGCGGGAGGGTGAGAGAATTCACCAGAGCCAGAGCAGGGAGCAGAGCAGGCAGAAGGACCGAGGTACACTGCTGAGGGGAGCAGCGGGCGGCAGGTGAGGTCTGCGCACCATGTGGGACCCTCCTCCGGTGGCCGGGGAGCAGCCGGGGATTGAACTGTCGCTGCAGAGGCTGTGGGCAGCTTCGCAACCCAGCGCTCAACCACTGCGCCACTGGAGAGGCCCATCTTATACAAAAGTTTTAATCCCATAAACCTGATTTTTAGGAGGTCCTGGCTTCACCCAAGTTCAGACTTTTGTATTTGGCAGCTCCATAGAAGCCTTTTAAGGAAACTGACTTTATCTGACTCCTGAAAAACAGAATAACAACCAGATCATGAAACTAGCTTTGGTTATTTATTTTTTTAAAGATGTATTTATTTTTGCATACAATAGGTGGGGTCAGGCCAGAGATGCAGGGGTTGAAAGGATTCACCAGAGACAGAATGGGGAGCAGAACAAATAGATTGACTGAAATACACTGCTAAGGGGAGCAATGGGCGAGACAGGAGAGGTCTGCTGCGCCATGTGGGTCAGCTTCCTGGCCAAGAATCGAACTCCTGCTGCAGTGGCTGCGGTTAGCTATAGTGCTGGGTCTTAACCCTTTGTGCCACCAGGGAGGCCTGAAACTGGCTTTAAAAATTAAACAAATACGGGCCTCCCTGGTGGCGCAGGGGTTAAACACAGCGCTATCAAGCTATCACCAGCCACTGCAGCATAAGTTCGATCCCCTTCTGGCCAGGGAGCAACCCACATGGTGCAGCAGACCTCTCTTGCCTTGCCTGCTGCTCCCCTCAGCAGTGTATTTCAGTAGATCTGCCTGTTCTGCTCCCCAATCTCTCTGGTGAATCCTCTCACTGCCCTGCCCTGCACCTCTGGCTTATATGCATAAATAAATAAATCTTTAAAAAAAATTAAACAAATACAAAAATGCACACATGCACTTGCACACACTATTTAGAGGTTTTTGCCAACCAAGTAGACTGGCAGCTGCATTGGCCTGACTGGTCTTCTCTGTGCTCACATGTGCTGAAGTTCCTGGGAAGTTGCAGAGGCTATGGTTCTTCTGCGGTGACAGTGCCCCACCCTGGCTGGCCATCCCATTGATCAGAGAGGTGTTGACTGCTCTTTCCATAGAGCAGACTTATCTGCTGTTTTTCTTCTGGCTTTGATTTATTGCCAGCCCTGGAAGCAATGGGGAAAAGATGAAGGAATAATGTAGTGAAGAACAAACCCTTTCTGTTGAAAATCAGTTATTACCATATTCACTGTGACACAGGGCTTCTTGAGCGGGAACTAGGAGGGCTTGGGAAAAAAAAGTAGTTTATTACTTTCTTGTCAGATTTTAGTCCCCTAGCTGGTAGGGGCCATCAAGAAGAAAAGATCACCCTGCAAGTTGTCTGGGTATGAGCAGAGAACTCTTATTAGACATCGGAAGGTGAGGAAAAATTCCAGATGGGTTGGAGAAATCATACTTCACAGAAAAAAACGAACCCAACTTGGTCCAGAATTGGGTGAACTGAATTTTGTGGCCCTGGCTTTGCTGGGAGCTCTGTCACCTTGGACAGGACCCCACCCTCCCTGGCAACTAGGTTTGTCATCTGCAAAATGAAAGGGCTGAAAGCAGGTGCCCACTAGCTGTGATAGTAATGGCTCACATCTCTTCCAGCTCTGACATTTGCTAGTTCTCTGCTTCCAGTTGTCTGCACAAGAGCCAGGCACGGAGTGAACACAGGTCCAGTGGGTCTGATTTTCCAGATGGAAGTCATCAGCCCAGTCCTGCTTGAGAAAGAAGGATATTATAGGCCTGGCATCCAGGCTGTCAAATACCTCTCAGAGAAACAAGCCGGGGGCTGTATGAGAGCTCTTGCTGTGTGCCGAGCACTCAGAGTCAGATTTCCAGGGCTCTGCTTAAGTGATAGCTATGGGTGTGTAAACCTTGGAACACAAATTCTGTCTGAAAAGCCTGTGGTATTAAGTTGACACTGTATGAACTGCTTAATGGTCCCTTTTTGTTCCCTTAATTGTGTTCCTGTGAAGAGGCAAAGGAATAAGGAATATAAGCAAATGGCTCATTGTAATGAAATAGCTGTTAGCTTCCAGGTGGCTTTCAGTAAGTGGAGGTTCCTGCTGTGCTTCGCAGAATTTTGGAAGGAGACGATCATTCTGCCTTTAGAGTGGCAGCCTTGTTAACAAACAGGAGCTGCAGGCTCTCTTTCGTCAGGGCAGCCTTGTTGTCTCATTAGGCTTAACACAGTGCTCTGTGCCTCCAAGAAGCAAAACCCTATTGGATCACAAACCTGATTGTTTCCAGTAGCCGTGGGACATGTCGGTGAAGGAGGAGTTTTCTGCATGTGCCAGAGAATCATGGTTATAAGCTACTATTGTTAGGTGGGATTGGGAATTCCCCTCACCCCCTCGTATAGAAGATATACTTACTTACCCTAGCCACGCTGCTCCGGAAGAGATTTTGTCATTTGGTTTGCTCTCCTAGTAGCTGGTATATGCTTATTCTTAATTTGCCTGTGAAACGTTGGATTCTTAGGTCAGATGAACCAGAGTAATCCTCTAAAAAGAAAGGATCCCCATTGTCTTTCTCTTTGTGAAGGTAGCATTAATTGTATTTCAGGTTTGGTTCAAGGAAAGGCGGGGCTGCTCTGACACTAAGATTAGCTGTGGCCACTGGGTGGTCAGCTGCCTGAAGTCATTGGGCAGGTGGAGAACCTGCTCTGGTTTTGATTCATCAGAAACACTTGACTGCCTTTGTTACAGGACAGGGAGAGGGGCAGCCGAAACCCCGCAAACCTGCCTGTTCTAAATGGGTTCCGCCATCAACACAAAACATATGAGATTTTAATGGGAAGGAACTTTCATACAATTAGGAAACAATACCGGAAAGGCAAAGAATCTAGTTTCTAAATCAAGCACCCAAAGTTACCTGTCCCCTCGTGGGTAAAACGCCATCCAAATGGGATTGGCCCAGAGCAAGGCCCCAAAGCCTCCCACAAGTCTAAAGCATCTTCCAGTGGGGACCCACAGAAAAGGGTCAGAAACAACCAGACAAGCCCAGAAGGAAAAGAGCAAAATCAAAATCAAGATAAAAGCTGCCATTGTCACCTCCCCACGGGTCTCACCCACATATGTGTCACCCAGTCCACGACCAGAAGACAAGCACAGTTTCTTCACATGTCTCTAGGCTCCATGTACCTCCTCCAGGTCTCCTTCTGGCTCCATCCTGCTTCCTTCCATCTGTTATAGGACAGGGAGAGGGGCAGCCCAAAACCCCGCAAACCTGCCTATTCTAAATGGGTTCTGCCATCCGCCGCATCAACACATAACATAGGAGACTTTAATGGGAAGGAACTTTAATAAAACTAGGAAACAATACAGGTAAGGCAAAGAGTCTAGTTTCTAAATGAAGCACCCAAAGTTACCCGTCCCCTCGTGGGTAAAAGTCCATCCATATGGGATTGGCCCAGAGCAAGGCCCCAAAGCCTGCCACAAGTCTAAAGCATCTTCCAGTGGGGACCCACAGAAAAGGGTCACAAACAACCGGACAAGCCCGGAAGGAAAAGAGCAAAATCAACATCAAGATAAAAGCTGCCATTGTCACCTCCCCACGGGTCTCACCCACATCTGTGTCACCCAGTCCACGACCAGAAGACAAGCGCAGTTTTTTCACGTGTCTCTAGGCTCCGTGCGCCTCCTCCAGGTCTCCTGGCTCCATCCTGCTTCCTACCTCAGTCTCTTCTTCAGCTTCTCCTCTTCCTGCTCAGCTCCACCCTCCCTTGGGTGGGGCAGGGAACCTCCCCCTTTCCTGGGGACCACCCTGTTACACCTTGAATAAAGACTTCTCTACACAGAGCAGCTTTTTCTCTGCTGAAACCCGACTCTTTCCAGAATAAAGATCGGTGGAATCCATTCAAAATTGTATTACCTTAAATGTGATAGGAAGCTGGCTTTGAGGACAGTCTTCCCTATACCCCACAGGACCTATGAAGTGAGGCCACAAAAACAGAGAAGGATATAAAGAGCACTTTGTTTCTGGCATGTGTCAGTCACTCAGGGTCAGTCAGAAGTTGTTTTGATTTCTTCTTGAGAAGGTGGGAAGGATTCCAGCCTTAGGGTTGTGCGTGCGTGCGTGCATATGAGGAAAGAAACTTGGAGAAAGAAGACCTTTATGATGCAGAGTTTGGAGGCATTATCCAGAGAAAAGAGATCATGCAGAACACTGTAGAGGTGGGACAGGCAAGGGAAGGGAGGTGCTTGGATTTTGTATATGGTTTCTGGAAGGCTAAAAAGAGGTAAAAAAAAAAAAAAAAAAGGGCGGGGGGGGTGTTTTCATCAAGGGCCATTGAGATTTCAAGGTACAGGTGCAGATCCAGAAGGGCAGTGTGATTCCATGCAGCCCTTGAGTTCTTTACTTTCTCTTCCCCTCCCCTCTTCCTCTGAAATGAAAAAGGAGCCAATTATCTCAATTTGTTCAACCTAACCTCTTTTGGTATGAGCCTCATACACCAGAAGCACTGTGATGTTTTTCTCTCTTAGGTCTTGGCCATGAGACCCCGGATTCAGGGAAGTGCAGCCAGGGAAGAGGATGAACATCCTTATGAGCTATTGTTAACAGCAGAAACAAAGAAGCTGGTGTCAGTGGATGGAAAAACAAAAGGTACATCTTATGCCCCCTCCCCAGCAAAAACAACTCCAAAAGAATTTTCAAAGTTTGTGATCCAGGTGGGAGGAAATTAAAATGTTCCGGGGCTTATGGCAGTCTGGGGTGGTGGGTGTATTATGGTCTTTCATTTTCAATTCCCTAGGTTGGATTTGGATCGCCACCTTATAGCCCATAAAGCAAGGAAAAGGTTAGGTCAGGTTAGGTGAGACCCATATCAGGGGAGACAGCCGACATTGTAGCAGAAGTTGATTTGGGGTCTCAAATCATAAACTTTCAAGTTAATGCTGTGGAAAAACAAGCCCAACAAGTCAGTCCCTTGGGTTCAGGCTGGCGGCACAGACTCTGCTTTGAGCCCTGACCTCAGAGAGAGGCACTCCTGGGGAGGGGCCGTGATTGGCTGCCACCCGGTAACTAGAGTGCTCTGTTGCCTTGGCCTACTTTCATTACCTCTGCAAAATACAGTTTCCTCTGTGAAGGAGTGAATGCTGCAGGACTGAGATCCAGCCAGACGGAGAGTGTGCACTGCTGGAGAGTGAGTGACTTCCTCTGTTCTCCTAAGGAAGGACGAGAAGGGGCAAGGCAGTTCCTGCTGACATTTGAAGGAACTCCTGTCGCCTCTCACAGCACTTTATGGCTTGTAGCGACTAGGTCCTTTATGGGTATTACTAGTGCCTTCTTTCAGTGCCAGAACAGTGCCTGGTTCAGGTAAGAATGGGGGATGGAATGTTTTCTTTTGAAGTATCCTTTTCTAGGACTCTGTCAAAGGGTGAGGGTGGCCCAGAGAATGTGTACATATATATATGACATTGTAGAAATTTTTTTAATGATCTTCTTTGAAAGGGTTTTCTTCTAGCATGCAGAAACTTTGTGGATCTTTTCATAGTAGTTCTTTTGTTTATTATGGTTTCCATCTGGAGCTTTTTTTTTAAAGTTATAATTTAGATACAGTAAAATTCATTCTTGTGTGCAGTTCTGGAGCTTTGACAAACGTATTTAATTGCCACCATAATCAGGATACAGAACAGTTTCATCACACCAAAAAATTCTCTTGTGTCCCTTTGTAGTCAGTCCCACAACCCTCCCCTACCCCTGGCAACCATTGCTCTGATGTCTGTCCAAATAATTTTGCCTGATCCAGAATGTTGTGTAAATGGAGAATGTACCCTTTTGCATCTAGCCTCTGTCAGTTAGCATAATTCATTTGATATTCATCTGTGTTGTTGCATATATCAGTAATTGGCTCCTTTTTATTGCTGAGTAGTATTCCATTTATGCGAATACCACAGTTAACCCATTCACTCACTAAAGAATGTTTAGGTCATTTATAGTTTTATAGCTACTATAAACATTTGCTTACAAGTTTTTGTGTGGACATAGGTTTCATTTCTCTTGGGTAGACACTAGGAATGGGATTGCTGAATCCTAGATAACTATATGCTTAACTTTATAAGAAGCTGCCAAACTATTTTTAGAGTTAGAGTTGCTGTGTATCTTCTCTAATACTCTCAGGTTCTCAGTGTGTAGTGATATTTCATTGTGGATTTAACTTGCATTTCCCTTATGACAAATGATGTTGAGCCTCTACTTGTGATTATTTGTCACCCTTATAGCTAATAAAACATCAAATTTGAACATTTTAAATGTTCAGATGTTTTCTCATTTATAAAAACTGAATTATTTTCTTAAGTTGTGAGCATTCTTTATATGTTTTGGATATAAGTTCTTTATCAGGCACATGGTTTTCTTAATCTGAGATTTTTCTTATTAATCCCTTAGCAGTGTCTCTTGAAGAGTCAAGTTTCTTAATTTTTTAATGATTTTTTAAATTGAACATTGCATGATAGCATTTTTAAGTTTCAGTTTTGTTATAAATCAACATTTATTTAGTTTGCCACTTAAAGTCCATTTCTATCCATTGCCATATAATTTACCCTTTAACCTACTTTAACCATCCCAGCGGTTCTTCATTTTGATGAAGTTCATTGTATCCTTTTGTAAATATTAAGATTTCCATTTTCCTCTAGAAATTTTATCATTTTATTTATTTATTTTTAAAAATAATTTATTTATTTATTTATACAAGCACTGGATACAGTCAGAAGCGCGGGAGGGTGAGAGAATTCACCAGAGCCAGAGGGGAGAGCAGAGCAGGCAGACTGACGAAATACACTGCTGAGGGGAGCAGCAGGCAGCAGGAGAGGTCTGCGCACCATGTGGGACCCTCACCCGGAGCTGCAGAGGCTGTGGGCAGCTTCGCAACCCAGTGCTCAACCACTTTGCCACCGGGGAGGCCCGAAATTTTATCGTTTTAGATATACATTTAGGTCTGTGGTCCATTTTGAATTTTATATATGGTGTGAGGTATCAGTGGAGTGTTGTTTTTTTTTTTAATGGATGTTTGTTTAGCACCATTTGTTGAAAAGACTACCCTTTTTCCACTTAATTGCCTTTGCCACTTTGGTCCTCTCTTTCAGATTTGTTTTACATATTCATTTTCCTTTCACTTTCTGTACAAAAATTTAGAATCAATTTGTTGATTTCTATGAGAAGTCCTGCTGGGATTTTTATTGGGATTGTGTTGAATGTAAATAGTAGTTTGGGTAGATTTGATATCTTGACTGTATTGAGTCTTCCAGTCACATTAGTAGATTTTTTTTTTTTTTTAATAGAGGCATGTTTTATTTATTTATTTATTTGTTTGTTTGTTTTTTGTTTATACATGCACTGGGTACAGTCAGAAGCACGGGAGGGTGAGAGAATTCACCAGAGCCAGAGCAGGCAGAAGGACAGAAGTACACTGCTGAGGGGAGCAGCGGGCGGCAGGAGAGGTCTGCGCGCCATGTGGGACCCTCCTCTGGTGGCCGGGGAGCAGCCAGGGATCGAACTGGCGCCGCAGAAGCCGCGGGCAGCTTCTCAACCCAGCGCTCAACCGCTGCGCCACCGGGGAGGCCCAGATTTTTAATTAAAACATTTAGAGAGAGAGTGGAGTAGAGCATTCTTTCGTGGTTTAATAACAAATCATATTGAAATTAACCCTTAAAAGCAAGCACTTATTTTTTAAAATTTATTTTTTAATTTCTCTCTATATTTTACATCATCATTCATTTTTGTACAGTTTCCTTTCTCTTCTCAATGTAGTTCCCACAAAATTCCTACCACCAAGACACCCATGAACCATCACCGTAGTCTCTTGTAAAAGAACAAGCACTTAATTAATTCAACATTCTGAAAGTGCTCTTGGTGAGGGAAGACTCTAGCATCATGGAGGAGAGAGATTCCAATTCTCTCTTTCAAAGGTTTGATCTGGAACCACTACAGGATAGCTGAACTCAGCCTTTAAGAGGAAGAAAAGGGAAAAAAATCAGGCAAACTTGATAAACGGGCAGCCTCTGAATGCCAAGTGCCCTGGATAGGAATCTTCTATCCCCAGGTCAAGAGCTCTCCAGGTTCCAGAGAGAATTGACAAAAAAGACTTCAGACCTCACATCTAGTCTTGCTTTCCTTTGGACTCTTCCAGCTCTGTGGTATTGCTCTGTTAGGAGTGGGTGGTGCGGGAAGCAGATTTAATTGAACCACAGCTTGTGGGTGTGCCTGCCTCCAGGCTAACTTCTTGGATCTCTCAAAGAGCTTTTAGACAAAGGAGTTGAGACATTAAACTGAAAATGGATGCTGCTAGTTTCTCAGTAGACTGGAAAGATTGCCTGCTAGGGTTGGCAAAAGTGAGGCAAATAAGCAGTGATGTCCTGCTTTATTACATATAAAATCTTTTCTGCTTTTCCATTGTGATTATCTTCAGCAGCTTTTATGAATTCATCAGTTTTCAAAAGGCCATGTTAATGAGACTGCCAGTGCTTTCAGTCTCTCCTTACTGTAATTCAAGGAACTACAATGTAAGGGGTATGATAGAAAATTTTTTAAAATTACATTTTAAAATAGCATTCGTATTAACGTATTGAAAAAAAATTCACACAAGACAGACATCAATTCATATAAAATGCTCAGGTTCTCTTTCTCTGCTACTAACAATTGCCAGAGGTAACCACAGTTAGAAAGTGTGGTAGATGGGTTTTGTTTGTTTTTAACCTAAAATCAGATCATATTTACAAACTTTTTTTTTAATTTACCGTGTCTATAGATCATGGGTACAATTTGTCTTGTTTCTAAAATTTACCTTACCCTTTTTTAAACTATTTTTTTCCATTTTCCAATTATTGAATGTTTAGCTTGATTCCAGTATTTCTCTGTTAGAAATTTTGCTACTGTGGAATTCCACATACATATTCTTACATGCATAGAGGAGTATTTCTCTAAAGGACAATAATAGAAAGTAGAATGAACATGTCAGAGTGCAGGTGCATGTCTAGAGCTAATTGGTGGAGCTAAATTGCCCTCCCTTATTGGTGAATGAGCACATTATTTCCCCTATATCTTCATAACATGAAATATTTCTTTTAAATAAATATTTTTCACCATAATAAGCAATAAAGAGTCTTAAAATTGGCATTTGCCTGATTTAATGAAGTCAATCATCTTATTGATTATTATATAATTAGTCATGAGTTGCTAGTCTTTTCTTTCTTTTTTCTGCTTAGAAATTAATGGTGGTGGAAACACTTCATATAGGTACCTATAACATTCGGTGAAAGTGGTATGCAGAGGAAAGTTTAGGTCCTTAAACTCATTTGTTAACAAACAAAAAAACCCTAAATTTAACCAAAAGAAAGTAGTTGAGGGGAATTAATGAAGATAAAAGTAGATAATATATGACATATACTTCATGGTATGCACTTACACCTTGGATAATAAATCCAGAAAGGAAAAAAAGTAAAAGCAGAAATAATAAAGTGAAAACAAACAAAAACAATAGACTTGTTCATTGCAATGAAAACTTTTTTTTAAAGATTGCTTGACCACTGTGAACAAGAGAAACAACATGTAAGAAGTATATAAAGACTATATAAAATCACAAATTCAAAAATTTTAAATAGTAATAATGTGAGAACATACAGGTATAAATTTTATATGGTTTGTTAGAAGTGCCACCATCCTCCTCAGTTGAACTGTCTGGGAAAGTTATTGGTCCATCATAATGACTGGGTGAGGTAGAACTTCTACTGGCATTTAGTGCTTACTGCCTAGGAATGCTAAGCATCTTGCACTATGCAGGACATTTCACAGTGAAGAATTTTCCCACCCAGAAATGCCATCTGTGTCAGTAGAAATGACAAAAGCTAACAGAGGCAGAAAACTATAATAGATCCAGGAATTAGAAAACTTCCCCCAACGAGGCACTAGGCCCAGTCTTATGATAGTTTTATCCAACCAGGTATTCCTCTGTTATTTAAATAGTTTCAAATGTTGAAAAAATCTTCTCAATTCATTATAGGGCTAGGATAACTGAGAACAGTACTTCCTGTTTCATGTAACAGTCCTTTATTTCTCTTTGTCATGTTTAACTCTTTGCCCAGTAGACATTCTGGACACACTGCTCAGAAACAGCCGAACCTTTCCAGATTCAATAGCACATGGGAATAGGGCCAGGAGCTCTAAAAATCATTGTTCTATTTGGTGCTTTTCCACAGCATCCACTAATAGTGTTTAGGTCCAGGTGAAGTGGTTACTTAGCTAATTTAGGACAGTGATGAATGATTATCTGAAGATAGTGATGCATGGGACCTCTTTGGCACACAGCTATACTCCTGAACTTTTTTAGATGCAATTAAGTCAGTATTCCTGAGAGCAATGCATTTAGGTCTGTGTGAAGTTTGTACATGAATATGAAGCCTTAATCCTTTTGAAGGGAAGAAAACAGTATTTTAGCTTCTCCTTCTACCCCTGCATCCAGGGTGCTGCCAAATCCTGAGCATTGGGAATTCTGTTGTGTATATAAGTCTTGGCTTTTCCCTTTGCCAGCTTGGGATTGAATTTTCTCAAGTGTGCTTCTATCTATAGCCCCATTTTACTCTTATGTTAATGAGACTTCAGGAAGAAGATTAAATAGGTACCCACGTTCACTCCACCATCTGGATATCCAGGCTAGCTATTCATGGTAGTGGTAGAGTCCAAGGAGTAGGTTTTGGGTGTTTCCCAAAAGCAAAAAAGTATAAATGAGACAGTTTATCCATTAAGCCTTATCTAGCTGCTTCCTCTTTCTCTTCTTGTGTTAGAGGAGGTAGCCACCAAAAGCCCTACTGTATTAGTATCTTGCTTTTACCAATTTATATTTCTGAGTTGGAAATGTTCACTTTTCTTTCCATTATATAGTTCACAAGGCTTGAACTTGTCTAATATCTGTATTTTCTTCCAACAAATGTGTCAGCATTTGCAACAAAGCAATAGATTTGATCTACAAAGAGCTGATGAGATACAACAAAAACAAAGTAAATAACCCAGTCAAAAAATGGACAGAAGAGCTAAAAAGAAACTTCTCCAAAGAGGAAATGCAAATGGCCAACAGGCATATGAAAAAATGTTCACCATCACTTGTAATCAGGAAATGCAAATCAAAACCATGATGAGATACCATCTACACCAGTGAGAATGGCACATATTAAAAAAACTAGCAACAACAAATGTTGGCTAGGTTGTAGAGAAAAGGAACT